CAGGCCCAGACGCTTTGGAAATGGCAGACGGCAGCTTAAGATGTCAGCCTGCTGCCGGGGCAGGGCAAGGACTCAGCCATCACGAGGCAACCGATACAGGTCGGTTCTTCTCGGTGATGGGAGGTCGGGCCCTCCCCGAGGCCTGGGCTCTCGCATCATGGCGCATGAACATGCTTTGCAGCTCCTTTACCTGGAAAGCTGAGCTTTCGTGACTGGTTTCCTGACTGGAGGCCAGCTGCGCTGGAACCTACTAGTGCGCTGCACAGAACTACGCTCCGGTGGGCTCATCAGCCCTCAGGGAAGCAAAACTGTGGGGAGGGATGGAAAGGGGAGACTGGCTCAGAGGTCAGAGAAAGGTTACCCTTGACACTAGCTGGAGCCTGGCTTTGCCAATCACCCCCTGGGGACAAGGCCAAATGTCAAAGGTCAAGCAGAACTGGCCTCTTCGGGTGGGGGGACGGTCCCTAGCCAAATGGCCTCCAGGCCTTGCAAGTGCACCTTGAGAGGCAGCAGGACAGCACACCCATCCCAGCCCAGCGCCCCACCCCAAGGCATCATGCTCATGACCGCCTCTTGGCCAGGGCCCGCAGGTCAGGAAGCAGGGTCCGGCCAGGCCTGTGATCTCCCCTTCCTGCTCGCTGACCTCCCCGTCGCTGTCAGAGATGACAATAAAGGCATCCACAAAGCTGCGCTTCTTCCTGGCACTGGCTGGGCCCCTCTGCTCATCCTCGTCCCCAGCCAGGGTCTGTGAGTCGCAGTCCTCCACGGGCTTCTTCTTCTTCGGCATCCTGCCCCTGGAACAGAGACGAGGATGAAGAGCTGAGCATGCCCCCAGCAGCCAGGTGGCATGCTGCCCTTAGGCCAACACCCCCAGCATTCAAGCGCTGGTGCAGCACATGGCGTGTTCGGTGCTGCTGGGACCCACGTCTGTACCTGCCTGGTGAGGCGATGCTACCCTGCGGAGCTGACTGCTCTGGGCAAACGCAGCACTGCTGAGACCTGCCTTGCAGACCCTCTCCCACACAGCGCCTCAGCTCCCCCTCGATGGCTCCTGTCAGAGCACATCAGCCAGCTGGGCCAGAGCCAGTCACCCTGCAGGTAGGGATCCTCGGCCTGCGCCACGCCTCCCCCGCCGAGCCCCACACCCTCGCCACCCCTGCACAGCGCCCACAGCCCGGACAGAGGTCAGCTGGCCGCAGGCCAGCCACACCACCGCTCCTGGATGGGAGGACCCGGCAGCAGTACTGCAGGGCAGCGTCTGCATGCAGCTGGGCAGGGGAGCTTCTGGCCCTGGTACAGGGTTACCGCATGGCTGAGAGGAGGGTGGCGCCAGCCCAGGGCAAGGGCAGAGGTAGGTGGGGAGCAGTTGTGTGCCTGGCAGGGCAGGCGCAGGTGTCCCCTGCAAGCAGCCTCAGGCCATCCATGCCAGAGTGGGGCAGGCAGGACCTGTGGAGCAGCCCGGGCAGGCCGAGGGGGCTGTGCCCACACACCTGGGGGGCTGCCTGCGCAGGAAGGGCAAAACCGCCCCCTTCAGCAAGGCCATGCCAGGAAGGCTGGGGAGTCCGGCCGAACGAGGGGAGCAGCGGGATGGCCTAGAGCGTGGTAGTACAGAGCTCCCCGGGCGTGGCGCTGCCCCTCCACAGACCCCATCCTCCACTCAGCCAACAGCTGCTGCCCTCTCTCCAAACGAGCCCGAGCGGCAGCCATGGCACGGCCGGCACAGGAGGGCCGAGCCCAGCTCCCAACCCCACGCCTCGGCGCCTGGACCGTGGCACCTCCTGCTCAGTCTCGCATCCGACGAGGAATCCCTGCCCTTTCCTGCCACCCAGCAAGGAGCGAGCAGCCTGCCCGAGCGCTGGCGATGTTCCCGCAGGCGCCGGCTTCAAGCCCAAGCGACAGACAAGGACGCGCTGCAGGCTGCGCCGGGGCCGGAGAGTCAGCCTGCCCGTGGCCGGCCCAGCCACCGCCTGACCCCGGCTGCAGCCTGACAAGGCAGCTGACGCCTCTGCCGACCCCTGCCCAGCACCACGGCGAGAGGCTGGCGCCGAGCCCCGAAGGCAGCCGCTCTCTCGCTCCCGGGAAGCCCCACGGGGCCACCCCCAAGGAGCCAGCCCGCCG